ATCTATCTCTATCCATCTATCCATCTATCTCTATCCATCTATCCATCTATCTCTATCCATCTATCCATCTATCTCTATCCATCTATCCATCTATCTCTATCCATCTATCCATCTATCTCTATCCATCTATCCATCTATCTCTATCCATCTATCCATCTATCTCTATCCATCTATCCATCTATCTCTATCCATCTATCCATCTATCTCTATCCATCTATCCATCTATCTCTATCCATCTATCCATCTATCTCTATCCATCTATCCATCTATCTCTATCCATCTATCCATCTATCTCTATCCATCTATCCATCTATCTCTATCCATCTATCCATCTATCTCTATCCATCTATCCATCTATCTCTATCCATCTATCCATCTATCTCTATCCATCTATCCATCTATCTCTATCCATCTATCCATCTATCTCTATCCATCTATCCATCTATCTCTATCCATCTATCCATCTATCTCTATCCATCTATCCATCTATCTCTATCCATCTATCCATCTATCTCTATCCATCTATCCATCTATCTCTATCCATCTATCCATCTATCTCTATCCATCTATCCATCTATCTCTATCCATCTATCCATCTATCTCTATCCATCTATCCATCTATCTCTATCCATCTATCCATCTATCTCTATCCATCTATCCATCTATCTCTATCCATCTATCCATCTATCTCTATCCATCTATCCATCTATCTCTATCCATCTATCCATCTATCTCTATCCATCTATCCATCTATCTCTATCCATCTATCCATCTATCTCTATCCATCTATCCATCTATCTCTATCCATCTATCCATCTATCTCTATCCATCTATCCATCTATCTCTATCCATCTATCCATCTATCTCTATCCATCTATCCATCTATCTCTATCCATCTATCCATCTATCTCTATCCATCTATCCATCTATCTCTATCCATCTATCCATCTATCTCTATCCATCTATCCATCTATCTCTATCCATCTATCCATCTATCTCTATCCATCTATCCATCTATCTCTATCCATCTATCCATCTATCTCTATCCATCTATCCATCTATCTCTATCCATCTATCCATCTATCTCTATCCATCTATCCATCTATCTCTATCCATCTATCCATCTATCTCTATCCATCTATCCATCTATCTCTATCCATCTATCCATCTATCTCTATCCATCTATCCATCTATCTCTATCCATCTATCCATCTATCTCTATCCATCTATCCATCTATCTCTATCCATCTATCCATCTATCTCTATCCATCTATCCATCTATCTCTATCCATCTATCCATCTATCTCTATCCATCTATCCATCTATCTCTATCCATCTATCCATCTATCTCTATCCATCTATCCATCTATCTCTATCCATCTATCCATCTATCTCTATCCATCTATCCATCTATCTCTATCCATCTATCCATCTATCTCTATCCATCTATCCATCTATCTCTATCCATCTATCCATTCATCTCTATCCATCTATCCATTCATCTCTATACATCTATCCATTCATCTCTATCCATCCATCCATATCTCTATCCATATCCATCCATCTCTATCCATCTACCCATCCATCCATCCATATCCATCCATCTCTATCCATCCATCTCTATCCATATCCATCCATCTATCCATCCATATCCATCCATCTCTATCCATCTACCCATCCATCCATCTATCCATCCATATCCATCGATCCATCTCTATCCATCTATCCATCCATCTCTATCCATATCCATCCATCTATCCATCCATCTCTATCCATCCATCCATCTCTATCCATCTACCCATCCATCCATCCATATCCATCCATCTCTATCCATCCATCTCTATCCATCTACCCATCCATCCATCCATATCCATCTATCTCTATCCATCCATCTCTATCCATCTATCCATCTCTATCCATCCATATCCATCCATCCATCTCTATCCATCTACCCATCCATCACTATCCATCCATCTCTATCCATATACATCCATCTCTATCCATATCCATCGATCCATCTCTATCCATCTACCCATCCATCCATCCATCCATCCATCCATCCATCTATCCATCTCTATCCATCTATCCATCCATCTCTATCCATCTATCCATCCATCTCTATCCATCCATCCATCTCTATCCATATCCATCCATCTTTATCCATCTATCCATCCATATCTATCCATCCATCTCTATCCATCCATCCATCTCTATCCATCTACCCATCCATCCATATCCATCCATCTCTATCCATCCATCCATCCATCTCTATCTATCTATCCATCTCTATCCATCCATCTCTATCCATCCATCTCTATCCATCCATCTCTATCCATCCATCCATATCCATCCATCTCTATCCATCCATCACTATCCATCTCTATCCATCTATCCATCTACCCATCCATCCATGGATAGAGATGGATGTCCATCCATCTCTATCCATCTATCCATCCATCTATCTCTATCCATCTATCCATCTCTATCTATCCATTCATCTCTATCCATCTCTATCCATCCATCTCTATCCATCCATATCCATCCATCTCTATCCATCCATCTCTATCCATCCATCTCTATCCATCTACCCATCCATCCATCTCTATCCATCTATCCATCTCTATCTATCCATCCATCTCTATCCATCCATCTCTATCAATCCATCCATCTCTATCCATCCATAGCTATCCATCCATCCATCCATCTCTATCCATCTATCCATCCATCTCTATCCATCCATCCATCCATCTCTATCCATCCATCTCTATCCATCCATCCATCCATCCATATCCATCCATCTCTATCCATCCATCTCTATCCATCCATCTCTATCCATCCATCTCTATCCATCTACCCATCCATCCATCTCTATCCATCTATCCATCTCTATCTATCCATCCATCTCTATCCATCTTTATCCATCCATCTCTATCCATCCATATCCATCCATCTCTATCGATCCATCCATCTCTATCCATCCATATCTATCCATCCATCCATCCATCCATCTATCTCTATCCATCTATCCATCCATCTCTATCCATCCATCCATCCATCCATCTCTATCCATCCATCTCTATCCATCCATCTCTATCCATCCACCCATCCATCTCTATCCATCCATATCTATCTATCTATCTATCCATCCATCCATCTCTATCCATCCATATCCATCCATCCATCTCTATTCATCTCTATTCATCCAGCCATCCATCCACCTCTATCCATCCAGCCATCTCTATCCATCCATATCCATCCATCTCTATCCATCCATATCCATCCATTCATCTCTATCCATCCATCCATCTCTATCCATCCATCCATCCATCCATCTCTATTCATCTATCTATCTATCTATCTATCTATCTGTCTGTCTGTCTGTCTGTCTGTCTGTCTATCTATCTAGTGATTTGTATTCCCAAAAGGCTTCTGGAAGAAGGGAACAAAGCCTCATTTTAAAGTCCAGGGCCACCAGTTCCCTCCCTTCTATCTGAGGGGTCTATTTATAAGCAATTAGCTCAGCCATTCACCTTGTGAATCTCTGTGAATGTTCATTCTGTGAGAATAGAGGCAAGAACGAACCTCTTTTCAGCTTGAATATATTATAATACCACATTATGGCCACTAGATGGAGCTGTGGAGCATAGGAAATCAGTATTTACTTCCTGTGCTTCTCAGTTCCATCTAGTGGCCATAATGCAGCATTACATTACATTACATTCAAACTGAAAAGGAACTAAACCAAGAACTTTAGTTTTTGCCTCTATTTACACAGAACAAATATTCACAGAGATAGAGTCATACCTGTAACTGTAAGTCTTGCAATGCCTCTTGGGACTTGTAGTTCCATAACCACCGAAGGACCGGAGTTGCCCTCCCCTGTTCTAATCTGTCTGGATGGCACTAAAGCACATTAATAGCATTTAGTACAGTGCATGAAATGCCAGTTTATTGACCAAAATAATAGTTTTCTGACTTTTTTTCTCCTTCCTGTGTTAAATTTTAGAGTTGCAGATCTCATGCAGCCTCTTTGCCGCCAGTCAATTTTTTGTCACCACAATTTTTTGTCACCACACCCCCCCCACTGAAAAGTCGGGCACACGGTCATGGACCGAGCGCCCGACAGTTGCGGGAGAGAGGAGAGAGCATACCCGCCGGGTGACTGTCCCCTCCTCTCTCTGCCGGCGTCCATCACCAAGATGGTGCCGGCAGGCATCAATAAGATTGGTGACGTCAAGCGCGTGCGCGGTGACATCACGGCGGGGTGTCACCCGGTAACGGCTCCGGGTGACACCCGGCCTCGGGACGCCCCTGCTGTGATGGACTACAATATCATGTTAGGTTTACTCATTAGCATTGAGATTGTAGTCCATCAAGGCAGTGAGTTTGGAGCGATGACTACTTTACAACACACACAGGGACCACGGGGAACAAAAGTAGCCCCCCTCCAGAAGTAAGGACAGTGTCATCACCAATTCAGAGATGATTTGAGGATCTACAGCCGAGTGATACACAAATAAGATACATTGTTGTCAATAGTTAAGGTACTTGAATGGATTTTTATGATTTCACTCCGGAGTTTCGCGTCACAACGAAAGCTGCAGATTTATAAACAATAAAAAGCAACTTTCGAATTGAGATGAACATTTGAAAGCTTAGGAGATATTTTAGTGGTTGGGCGTACATCTCCTTTAAGTCACTTTGTAGTTACTGAATCATCTCAATATTCTCGGAGAGTTTTGTGTTCTCCCTGGCATGGGAAAAATTGCAGCGGTTTAACCCTTGAAGGGCACAGACGTTCCTCGCTTGCTGGAAGGGGGGAAAAAAAAAACCCCAAACTGTTTCCTGTGTCAGATTACTTCCATGAAAGCGCCTGCTAGTTTCCACTAAGGGACACCCCTTGCTCAGCTTTCAGATGGGGCACTAAAACTTGGGTTCTCATTGCCTGCTAAGCCTGACTCCTCTCTCTCTCTCTCTCTCTCTCTCTCTCTCTCTCTCTCTCTCCCTCTCTGTGGGTGTGACTTTGACTCCCTCCCAGTTATGACACAACTCCTTTGAATCAGAAGAATAACTCCTACAAAGTTACAAGTCTCTTTTAATTGCACGGTGGCTGCTTTTTGTGCCTCTTGTGGGAGCCCCAAAATTTCCGAGCTACAAAATGTCTAAGCTGCTGTGGATGGTCTGTTTTGGATTATGCTGCTGGATCAGCGCTGCCCAGGCACATTATGGTAAGAGACTCGATCCCTTTCATTCATATACTCCAAGCTTCCATAGAACGGCTTATTCACTTAAAAAAAAAGAAAATGTACATCCTTTGTAGAAAGTAGATGCAACATGTTGTCTACTCCACTGCTTCCAATGTAGCTGGGTGGTGGTAGCGTGCTCCAGCAACAGTTGAGTGTATTTAGAACGGGGAATCCCACAACAATAACTCTTTTGTCGGGTTGCTTTCTTTTTTTGGGGTTGGGGGGTTTAATAATAGGATATGGATGAGACAAAAGTGCCTTTATTTTGGATCTTCGGTCGATGGCGGTGCTGATGGTAGAATGAATGTTGACTGATTTTCCCTGGAGATTAGCACAAAACTCAACTCAATACCATTCCCTTTTTTGGGTTTTCTCAGCTAGAGGCATTTGGGTACCTTGTCATGTGTATGCAAACCCTTTCAGTACCAGTGCTGTAGTTGTGACTCACTGGAGACTAAGTGATTTCATTTCTCCAGCTCTGGAGGGAGGAACTACAAGTTCCAGGAATCTGGCATTTTGCTATCATTCCCATGCTGGAATTTTGCACGGTTGCTCTACATCAGTTAGCCAGGAGCAATGTTTCTCAGGATCTTTCAATTTTCCATTGTGAAGGACTGAGGCTAGAGTGTGCTGCAGAGGTGGGAGTATCCGCAGCTGGCAGTGTGTTGCATACGGACGCACGTGTTCCCCATGTAAGCTCCATTGTGGGGAATGGCAGAGCTGTGATGGGTATGCGTAGCTCTGTCAGACCTTGGGAAAAGTCCAGGGTGACAGTCCGGTCCCTGTTCCATTAAGGAGGATTTGGAGACATTCAACTTATTTTGGCAGGGCGAGGGGCAACGGCAATGTGAAGAGTCTCAGTTCATCTTTCATTAGCAGCCAGAACAATGCCAGACGAATGGTGATTGTCTGCTGTGTGTTATTCATTTTATTGATGTAATTCAGGTATTTATATAGCACCGGCCCTTTATGCAGCACTTTACATACTGCACATTCACATCACCGCAAGGTCCGTATTGCACACATACAGGGCCAATATGGACAGGAGCCAATTAACCTTAGAAGTTCCCCAACAGCTGGAGTGCCGAGGGTGCCTATCCCTTCCATTATCTTTCCTATGTGGTTGTTTCATATCTATGTGTGTAGTTTAGAACTCATTCACACCGCACATTGCGCTGGTGTGCTGCAATTCATTGTTATGACACATTGCAGGGCTTGGGTTTTTTTTTTCCATCTCAACATGCTTCACAAAAATGCAACAGCTTTTTCAATGCCAAAACTGAAGCCGTGGGACATAAGGCAAATTGCCTTGTTCTCTTGGGTTGGGACTGTCCAACACTGCCCAATGGGTCTTGTGTGAATGAGCCATTTGTTTAATTTTAAAGGAAAAAATATAAGGACCCCTTCATGCCTACGTGTGTGCATTACAATGGTATGGTCATACATAGGTATGGTTGAGCCCTATGGGTGGCTAAATAAAGGACTAGCTTGAGCATTGCTTGCTACCGGTGGACCAGATCTACTAAAAGCACCTCCAATTGATGGATGGGATCGTCATTGCATGAAGACCTTGTCCAACATGGTGAAGTAACAAATGCCACTCTTTTCCTTTACTATGGAGAAAAGGAGTTCATTTGTTTTTCTCTGCCCATGGGCAGCTGACATCTGTCAGCTGGGTGGAATATGGCGGCGTGTCGCGGCATGACTCAATTGAGGATAGCCAGCTATAATACCACCCGTAATTACAGCCTGGGTTTGGTCAACCCAAGCCTGACCATGACTGATGATATTCACATATGACAAATACAGTATATAGCTAGTAATGCGGCTGATCTGACGTCTGTTTGTTTGGCTCAGCAATTGTCAGTCAAGGCAACAAGTTTTTTTTTAACATGCTTGGAGATCTCTATCATTTAAGAAGGGGATTGTTAAAAATGTATCAAGGGGAAGCAAGGAGGGAAGTAGGAATTAAGAATGCTACAGATGTTCAGCTATTGTTAGGACAATGGGCAGTTCATACTTCTTCTGTAACATGAAAGACATTTCCTGTGGCCAGTCTCACTTGTATGCCAGTGCTGTAGGATCCGTGGGAAACAATGTCAAGAAAAGCTTAATATGGAAACATCCAATGTGTGTAGCATCGGGGATATCCAACCCAAGTCATTGATGCCAACATGACCTGATTTTGGAAGACTTGGCTGTACACATGTATGGCCAAATCTTCAAAATGACGTTATTCAGTACTCACCCCATGCTTGCAAATTGTGAATGGCATTAATGAAGTATTGCTTAGTGACCATATACATATGCAATTAAATTGTCTGGCTAGCAATTTAATTTAAGACTCCAGGGTAAATACCACCAGGAACGCATAGACACTTCATGCAGATTGTACCTTGAATCATTTTGCTGCATGACAGCCATGCCAACCTAGCAGCTACCATCTAAAGCTGCCCTGTAGCCATTAAAGACACACCATGTCAGTCATATTATTGTGTTTTTTTCCAGCAACCCATCCCTAGGATGTCACTAGAATATTAGAAAGTTGTAGGCTGTGTATCTTTACATTAATTGAATGAAGAACACTTACTGGACTAAACAAACCGGTATGGCACACTCAACTTTCTAATACTCAACAAACGCTTCCGGGAATTCCTGAAAACTCTCATATTATTTGAAATTTGTGTGTATATCAATAGGGAAATGGGTGTATAGTGTAGAACAAAGGACGATGAAACCCATACCATAACACAATTACCGCTGCCCCTTGAATTGGCTGGGGGCCATGAGCAGGAGTCTGGATTACATAGAGAAATTACAAAGTGGTGAACTTGAGCCTCTCCTTTATCCTCTGTATAGCAATATACAAGCTGATAATGTAGCAGGAGTAGTAATAGTAAAAGAAAATAATAATGAGAAGAAGAAGAAACAGGACAATAATAATAATAATGATCATAATATATTATGAGCAGTTTAAAGATAAATCTGGGTGAGCAAATTCATATAGAATACAGGAACCAGTATGTCCAATCCAGGAGCCAGCAGGATTGTTTTTTAGGAACCAGCTCCATTGATAACAGCTAGAGAAAACCCCAAAAGTCAGAGGTGGTTGCCTCAGGTGGCATCTCATTGGATGGCGGCCGGGTGGTGGGAGCGGCGGCAACAGTGTCCCAGGTTGCTAAGAGCTCTTAGCAACCTGTGATGCTCTGTGCAGCTCACTGATGTCACCAGTTGCCAGGAGCTGAGGGGGACACTCAGCCAGTGACGTCAGTGAGCTGGGCGGGACGGTGGACAGAGCCGAATACCTTAAGGACAGCCTTGGCGCCAGCTATAATTTCTAAGGAGAACTGGCGACCTGGCTCCTGGGATTTCTCCAGCCCTGAGAATAACAAAAACCATTATCCAGCTTAAAGGGTCATTCTGTCCATAACCTGTATTTCAGTTTTGCGAGGATGCACATGGGTGGACTACACTTCAGCTTCTTGAATCTCTTTTTGGGGAGGTCATTGTTGCACCTCCAGCCTATTGTTGCAGCCCTTATTAGGAGGTCTCGCTCTCTTGGCTGAAGTCTTCATTTATTATAAAGTACATTTTAAAAAATGCAGCAAGAGAAGGAAGCCTACATGGGTGGTGGGGAAAGGAGGAGCAGAGTTGGGTGCTCCATTTGGGAGACTCTGTTGATGGAAACATATACGTTGTTCATGTATGATCTACTCCAGTACCATTCACCCATAACGGTGTTTAGACTTTAACAATATAAAAGTTGTAATTTAAAAGTGAGATGCTAAAAATACATCTATTGACAAAAGAATCATGCACAGATATAGGAGGAGGAGAGTTATAGTTAACACTACATAAATCATAGACCAAGGGTGCCCTTTTAGAGCAGCTGACCCTTGACTGTGACCCCTGCGCCCTACCCTACAAATGTCAGCCATGGGAATATATAGTCGTGGAATCTGAAGAATGTTTTTGCCACAAAATGTCCAATGGAGAATGAAATGGAGCCTGGAATCAAGTAACACAGAGGACAGGGGGAACGTGGAGCCCCACACTGATCAGTTGAGTCTTATCTGCCATCTCTGAGTCTTATTAGCTGTGACATTAATAGCATTGAGTGAAGTCAGTGATTGATTCACTGCTGGCAGATTAAAGAGGTGTGTCTGTCCCTCCAGCGTTGACTTGTCTGCTTTTCAAACTTTCATATCTCCTTTATTTATGTATGCATAGTTACATATTCTAGCTGCAGTAAATAATGATCTGAAGTATATGCGTCTTCCTGTGACCCAGAAGAGCTTACAATCCAAAACGAATCCCAATGACTGCCAACAATCTCGGTTTCGAATCACATCTTCCTGTGGATCACAGGAGCTTACACTCTAATGTGACCGCCAATCACTGACTGAAAGCCAAACTCAAGCTAATTTTTTTTAATAGACAGACCCTATGGGGGGAGGAATAGTCCCGGGAGAAGGGGTTAAAAATAAGATGGGAATTAGCCGTTCTCACCTGATTGGACGTTGGGGTCAGGTATCCGGGAGGAGCCGCATGGGTTGGAAATGCAAGGGCTGAGGGGCGTTCTTTCTGGAAAATCGACGAAGAAAGCAGGTTGTCCCACCCTCCCTCCCTAAATGTTGTGGTTTCTGATGATTGCAGGGTTCTTTTTATGTCACGGCAGTTTGGCCGGTTGGCGTGTCTGAAAATCGGAGTCAATTACACAAATTGGGGCAGGAGGGGCATCAGCTGTTATGGGTGCTTTCCCCTCTTGGTATCAGTATTTGTAGGAGGGGCCTGGCACCCTTGGAACTTGGGAGCAGTAACTTTCCTCGAGGTGGTTGGGGTGTGGCTGGGGACATGGAAGGAGTTTTTAGGAGAGGCCTTATTTGGGCTGTTGGGCACCCAAAGACCCCTTTCTCAGATCAACAGTCGTTAAGAGTATATTATTTGGTTTATTACTTTTGTTATTATTAAAGTTGATTTTT